CTTGGCAGTGACGTCCTAGAGGACAGGCAGTACGAGCTGGCTTTCCTTTCCGAGGCTGCTCCCCATCTCTGCTCCATGCTGTTAGTCCCTGAGGGTGACCCAGACGCCTTCGACATCCCGACCCCTCGCACCTACGCTGAGGCCACCTCGGGACCTTGGGCCTCTCAGTGGATAGCTGCCATGGAGCAGGAGATGGCATCTTGGAGATCCACCGGCACTTACGTCGACGCAGTTCCCCCGCCTGGGGTGAACGTAGTCGATGGTCGGTGGCTCTTCAAGGTGAAGCGCCCCCCTGGAGAGCCGCCTGTCTTCAAGGCGCGCTACGTGGCCAGAGGTTTCAGTCAGCGCGAGGGGGTTGACTTCTTCCAGACCTTCGCCCCGACCCCGAAGATGACCACTCTTCGGGCGCTGCTACACGTAGCAGCACAGCGTGACTACGAGCTTCACTCCCTCGACTTCTCTACTGCCTTTCTTCAGGGCAGCCTACACGAGCAGGTCTACCTGCGCCGACCACAGGGCTTCACTGGTACCTTCCCTCCTGGGACCCAGTGGCTTCTCAGGCGCCCGGTCTACGGCCTGCGTCAGGCTCCCCGCGAGTGGCACGACACGCTACGTGCCACGTTAGCAGACCTGCAGTTCTTTCCGTCCTCTGCTGACCCTTCACTGTTTGTGCGTTCCGGCCAGACTCCGTTCTACATCCTTGTCTACGTAGACGACCTGGTCTTCGCTACTCCTGACAGGGACGCACTGGCCTCTGTGAAGGCTGAGCTGCTGAAGAGACACACCTGCACTGACCTTGGAGAGCTGCGTCGCTATCTTGGCCTGCAGATCTCTAGGGACAGAGCAGCACGCACCATCACTCTGACCCAGTCACACTTGGTGCGTCAGGTCCTTCAGAGGTTCGGTCTTCAGTTCTCCTCTGCACAGCCCACACCTCTACCCGTAGACCATGGGCTCTCTGCTCCCGTTCCTGAGGAGCCAGTAGAGCCCAGTGGCCCCTACGCAGAGCTGGTGGGTTGCCTCATGTACCTGATGACTTGCACGCGCCCAGATCTCGCATACCCTCTCAGCATCCTGGCTCGCTTTGTGGCTACAAGCAGACACCGACCTCAGCACTGGTCTGCCGCTAAGAGGGTTTTGCGTTATCTTGCTAGTACATCAGGCATGGGGTTAGTGCTAGGAGGACGCAGGCCAGTGGTCCTTACTGGGCACACAGACGCTTCTTGGGCAGACGACGCTGAGACGCTCAGGTCGTCGCAGGGCTACTGTTTCAGCCTTGGTTCGGGTGCTATCTCTTGGAGATCCACTCGCTCGTCGTCTGTGGCTCAGTCTAGCTGTGAGGCTGAGATCTACGCTGGTGCCATGGCGGCACAGGAGCTCCGCTGGCTGACCTTCTTGCTCACAGACTTAGGTGAGCGGCCTAGCTCTGCCCCGGTCCTGTACGCTGACAACAGGGCCATGATACTCCTGTGTCAGGAGCCTCGGCTTGAGGGCAGAGCGAAGCATATCCAGCTGCGGTACTTCCTCCTGCGCGAGCTACAGCAGCGCCGCCAGGCCCGCGTAGTTCACTTGGCCTCAGGTGCCAACACAGCTGATATCTTTACTAAGGCGCTTGCGCCTAAAGATCATCAGCGGCACTGTGTACAGCTTGGTCTTGTTCCTGTAGTTGCTCCCCTGTTAGGATCCTGATTGTGTACTCTCTATTATATATGCTTGTCAGACTGGCCTTGTGGCCTTACCTCCAGTGGCTGGACTAGTAGTGCCACCCTGGCTTGCTTCAGTTTTGGTTGTATTCTTGCTGACTGGTCTCCAGACCCCTGCCTCAGTGGTTGGACTAGTAGTGCCGCCCTGAGCTGTTTGCTTCTTGTTTAGTTTCACCCCTTGTCTAGCCTAGGGGGTGTGTCAACTTATACATATTATCTATGTAGAAGTTATAGGCTAGACTGAGGTATGCTTCTAGTGAGTACAACCAACTAGTATTTGTTCTAGGTTTCCACCTCTAGTAATCATTCGTTTCTACGTTAACACATTGGTCCAATCAATTTTGTTAACAGTTCACACACACGTGCAACGTTCTCTGTCTTGAGGCAGCCCAGCACCGGCAGGTATCGAGGGACAGGCTGGGGGGTTGAAGTACAGCACTCGCTTGTCCGGGGAAATTTTAGGGTCACCCTTTCTACACAGAGCGGGGAGCGAAGCCACTCTAGATTTCACAGGGCGAAACGAAAGTGTACACTGAAAACGGAAGGGTAGATTTTTACTTGAGTCTGAAAAATCAGACTAACACACACCGAGCACCCTGAAAATCAGAGTAAACAGGGTGAATCACCCTGTTAACATGTGCCCTGCCACCCACCCTAGCTATGTGTTGAGTAGTTTATTGGACGAAAACCAATGTATGTCATGTCACCCATATGAAATGAAGCACGCTGCCTTTCTAGAGGACCTAAGCAAGCTTTCACAATTGCTGGCTCGGCCAACTTCTTCGGTCCGGAACCACTTAGCAAACCCAAACACCGATGCACAGCTTTTCCGCAGCTTTCGCCAACCGAATCGCTTCAACCTGTTAGCGTGCTGCTCGATTAGATCTGTTCAGGTCATTTGTATCAACATTTTTCAATCATACTATCTGTCATTATTCCCATTAATTCAGAATTTTGGAGGTCACAACGGATCTGCGATCAACCAACCAAATTTACTGCACGGACTGGCTGACAGACCGGATTGCCTGACGTCGAGCAGATGTCTGTGCAAGGTGCATTGGCTGATAAATTGAACATTTGGAACATTTTGATTTCAAAACTGTAAATATCCATGCATGGAACTAACCACCCCCAACATTGCACCGACCAAGATGTCTATACATAACCCAAGCATGCATCAAGGAACGGCAAGGAAGTGAAAAGACCCATCCATTGTTTCGTCGACAATTTAGTTGGAGAAGGTCTGGATGATGGTCGTGTTGAAGGGATCAGCAAGGTGGGTGGTCCAGTTGTCAAGAGGACCCTTGCCGGTGGCAGCGGCCTGGACGCCGAAGCCAAGAGCGGAGATCATGGCAAGGCGGCAGTGCTTGAGCTCAGCAAGCTTCAGGGTATCCAGTTTGTTGGCATCGGAGGCGAGGCCAAGGGGATCGAAGTAGCCACCGGGGTACAACCGCTTCTCGGTGTTGAGCTCGGCGTTGCGGGCGAACTCGACGTAGCCGATGATGAGCACCTCCAGGATCACCAGGGTGGTGATGGAGAAGGGCAGGTTCAGACCCCAGTAGGAGGAGCCCTGCTCAAGCTCCACCTGAAAGAGCGAAAGATGGACACTTAGTGTGGGAAATATCGCTAAGAAACTGTCGCGAAACTGTCGCGTAAGAAATGTAGGCAAAGAAACGGGCGGAGAAAATCACGGATAGAAGTATTACCTTGCCGGCATCTTGCCATGTGACACCGGTGACACCCTCAACGACGAGAGCACCGAGGACAGCGAGCATGGCCCAGCGACCGTGGATGACCTCGTTCTCACGGAAGCGGATGATGGAGAACACCTCGTTGTAGGGGACGAAGGGGGTGGCGGACACCTCAGTCTTCGCGGGCTTGAAGGCGGAAATGACCTCACCGGCCTTGTTAATGGCGGCGTTCTGGTCGAGCTCATCCAGCTCGAACTGGAGGTACTCAGCGGGCTTGCCAAAGCCAAGGGGGTCGAAGCCACGGTCACCGATGATAGAACCATCGAGGTGGTCGGGGATCTTGGCATTGGGGAACCACACCAGGCGACCGGCATCAGGAGAGGGCTTCCTGACGGTGGTGGTCCTCTTCACGGTGGTCTTCTTAGTGCCGGTAGCGGCAACCACACGGGAGCCGTTGCTGGCGTTGAAGGAGGCAGCACCGGAGATGCTGCTCACGGAGGCCAGGGAAGAAGCAGCAGCGACTGTGGAGGCCATGGTGGCAAATTGGTGTGATAGAGTAGATGACCTCGAACAATCAGTGCTGGCTTCGTTGAACTGGGTGCTGTCCGAATGGGAAAGGGCGAGGGTACTTCAGTGCAAGCGGGCAAGCTGGGCGAAGCTGGGCTAAGCCGAACCCACGCCCCAACATGTTCCTGATCGGTTCTGACCCTCCATTCCCAAGATCGACGGACCAATCAAAGCACGCCACAAAGAAGCGCTTTGGATATGGCCGACTCTTCAATTGGCTCGCGCAAACACTCGCGGGGATTATGGGGAGTGGAGCTCCTCCGTGGCATCGGATCAAAGTCGCAAGAAGATCGAACGACGGCCGCTTGTTCTTGGCGATGCTTTCGATTTAGGGTAACCGAGAGTGGTTGGCTGATGTGTACATTGTTACTGTGTGGCCTTATCGCCCATGCCTCATGGCTCCAAACATCGAGGCTGGAGTTTTTGGGGTAATTGCAGAATGCCAGACTCATATCGCGGACAAAATCGTTGTCTCCAGAAACAGTCGCTATAGTGAAGGCAAGTTCTGCGACATATTTTGTGTGGGTTAGTGAGATTTACGAATTGAAAGGCTTATCAAGCATGTAGCGCTCTAGGTGCGTTTTGTGAGTGACAGCTCATAAAATTGTGGAAGTTTGCATAAAATACGACCAGATTATTGGTACATTCAATCAAACTTGCCATACATGCATTTCAGGCACTCATAAGAAGTACAACCTATTTTGGTCGATCTCATGGCTTGAATTCATAATTCTATCATTTGTGCTTACCATAAGTCCCAGCGTTTATCAACACCCATGTAGCATAATGTTTTTAAGGTCGTTACATCCTAGGCAACAGCTAAGGGGTCCATTGTCATGGTCCATCAAAAGCCACTCAACAATGCCACTCGAGATCGAGTTCTTGTCGAAGAAATAGAGTTACAGAGTGATCGCGGAACTCGTTGACGTTTCGTCAGCGTCGCTCGCTGCCTTTTCAGCCTTTCAGTTTCTGCTGCCACTGCTTCGCCTTGCTGTCTGACCCACAGCCTCAAGTTTTTTGCTGTCTGCAACCTCCCTCTGTCCAAACCACTATCTGGATTTTAGTTGACGGCATTTTGGGCAAGCTGGCTTTCCACGGAGCTCGTGCATTGTGCAGCGGCAGCGTTAGAACGGCTTTAGTCTCTATATCGCGAGCGCTTCCTGCTTGCGCTAGCCGTTCGGCTGCCGCTGGTGTTTGTCCTGCTAGCTCAGCCGCTGATCTTCGCCCTCTACGAGTCATGGCGCAGGCGTGTGTCCCGAGCTTGGGCATGTCCATGTCAGCCAATCACGTGACGACGTACGACTTGTTCGGGCATCTTGCCTTCCACCGTTAGCTCGCTCAAAATTCACATCTTATTCGTGCTTCCGACGTTTATTCTTAAGCTTCATATTTCCAATCTTAGATGTTAACCCAATCAGCCCGTGCATTCCCCAAAAGGTCGACCTGCGGCTTCCTTCTCACCTCTTCCCGTCACTTCTCTTCAATCCGATGTCCTCTCTTGCATTTGCACCCGTTTTCAATTGTTTCTCGCCATTCCCTTGCTTCACCTAATCATATTTTCTCTGATCCCATGTCGCCAGTCCCCGGCAGCACATCGCGGCATCCCCCGTGCGATCGCAGCAGCATCAGCTGCTCTTCCCGCTCTCGTCGCTCCGCGTGCTGCGCGCAGGGGGCGCCGCGCAGCTGCCGCGCCACGCGTCGGTGTCCGCGAAGCAGCAGGGCAGGCGGGGGAAGCGCGCGGCTGTCTGCGCGCTCACAGCGGAGGTCGGCGAGGCCACTATTTCCCGCGACGGTACGGGGTCAATGGAGAGCCGTTTCCCGCATGCCGTTTCCTGTTTCGGGCAATACGCCCACGCAATCACCTCGCACCGTTTCCTCCCCCTCCTCCCTGCCTCCTCTCGTCATTCGTCCCGCTTCTCCCCCCTCTTCTTCCCTCCCTGCCTCCGCGCGTCCTGCTCTCCGTTCTCCGTCTTCCCCGCGCCCCCCTCTTCTCCCCCCTGCCTGCAGACGTGGTGCGCGAGAACGACCCGACCAACAACGTGCCGGACACCATCTTCTCGAAGATCGGCGCGCGGCTTCACACGCGCGCGGACCACCCGCTGAGCATCATCCGGTCGGAGATCCACCAGTACTTCGACTCCGCGTACGCCAACGCCTTCCTCAAGTTCGACCACCTCGCGCCCGTCGTCGCCACCTCCTCTGTACGTGCTGCTGCTGGGGCTGGTGTTGGCGCTGCTGCAGGTGCGGCTGCTGCTGGTGCGGCTGCTGCTGCTGTGGCTCGCGCATTGAGGGCGTCACTGAGCATTGGATTTGCACGTTCATGCAGTGAGTGGGCACGCACAGTTCTCTGAGTTGTGCCGTTCTCTTCCTCCCCTTCCCCCCTCCTCCTCTCTCCCCCCTCGCGACTCCCCTTCCCCCTCCTATTCCCTCTTCCTATCGGTATCTCTGTTTCAATCTCTCCGCCTCTCCTCCCATCACTCCACCTTCATTCCCTTCCCCCTCTGCCGCCCCCCTCCTGTCCCTCCCTCCGCCATGCCATGGCCTGCCTGCCTGCCTGCCTGCCTGCCTGCCTGCCTGCCTGCCTGCCTGCCTGCCTGCCTGCCTGCCTGCCTGCCTGCCTGCCTGCCTGCCTGCCTGCCTGCCTGCCTGCCTGCCTGCCTGCCTGCCTGCCTGCGTGCTTGCGTTGCCAACCCGTCCACGGGAGCAGAACTTTGACGACCTGTTGATCCCAGCGGACCACGTGAGCCGCAGCTACAACGACACGTACTACATCGACGGCACCACGGTGCTGCGCACGCACACCAGCGCGCACCAGGCGCAGCTGCTGCGCGACGGCCACACGCACTTCCTCGTCACCGGGGACGTGTACCGCCGCGACGCCATCGACGCCACGCACTACCCCGTCTTCCACCAGGTCAGAGCCTCAGAGCCTCACAGCCTCACAGCCTCACAGCCTCACAGCCTCACAGCCTCACAGCCTCACAGCCTCACAGCCTCACAGCCTCACAGCCTCACAGCCTCACAGCCTCACAGCCACACAGCCTCACAGCCTCACAGCCTCACAGCCTCACAGGCTCACCGCCTCACAGCCTCACAGCCTCACAGCCTCACAGCCTCACAGCCTCACAGCCTCACAGCCACACAGCCTCACAGCCTCACAGCCTCACAGCCTCACAGCCACACAGCCTCACAGCCTCACAGCCTCACAGCCTCACAGCCTCACAGCCTCACCGCCTCACAGCCTCACCGCCTCACAGCCTCACAGCCTCACAGCCTCACAGCCCCAGACCTCCCTGCTTATGTACTCCGAGCTCACTCACACCCTTTCCTGATGCCCGCCCGAACCAATCAAACACCGACGCCATCGACGCCTCGCATGCACTACCCTGTCTTCCATCAATTCACAGCTTCACACATACCTCGCAAGCCGTAATCCCTCCTGATGCCCGCCTGAACGAACATCACATCCACGGATGAAGAACCCCCTGCTCTCGTTGTGCGCACTTCACTCTCCTCCCGTCGTCAGCCGCAGCCTCCCTTTTCCTCTTTCCCCCTCCCCCCCTCCCCCCCCTTCCCTCCCCCTCTCTTCTCCTTCCCCCCAGATGGAGGGCTTTCGAGTGTTCAGCCCCGAGGAGCTGGCAGCAGCGGGGGGAGACCCCACGGAGTACGTGGCGCTGCAGCTCAAGCAGGCGCTCGAAGGGCTCGCCAGACACCTCTTTGGTGAGGGGAGGGGGGGGGGGAGCGGGGAAGAAGGGGGAGTGGGGGGGGGAGCGGGGAAGAAGGGGGAGTGGGGTTTGGGTTGGGGGGTTTGGGGGGTTTGGGGGGATTTGGAAAGCAGTAGGGTGGGAGGAGGTGTAGGTGAACCGTGTCTTGTGGGGCGGCAACTTGCCCTTCTCCTTGCATAGGGGGGTGGGTTGGTCGCTGGCGGGTGAGCGGGTGTAAGTAACTTGAGGTGTGGTGTGGTGGTGGTGGTGTGTGTGTGTGTGTGTGTGTGTGTGTGTATGTGTGCTGCTGTGTGTAGGCGATGTGGAGATGCGATGGGTGGACACGTACTTCCCCTTCACCAACCCCTCCTTTGAGCTCGAGATCTTCTTCCAGGTCAGTCTGTCTGCTGCTGCTGCTGCTGCTGCTGCTGCTGTCGCCATGTCTCCACTCATGCACACATGCACTCGTGCACTTCCATCATGCACTCATGCACACATGCACTCCTGCACTTCACTCATGCACACATGCACTCCTGCACTCGTGCACCCATGCATTCATGCATGCACTCGTGCACTCAGGCACCCATGCACTCGTGCACCCATGCACTCATGCACCCATGCACTCGTGCACCCATGCACTCATGCACCCATGCACTCGTGCACCCATGCACTCATGCACGCATGCACTCGTGCACCCATGCACTCCACTCGTGCACTCATGCACTCGTGCCATGTTCATGCATGCACGCACTGGCTCTTTTCAACCTTGCACAGCTTGTCCACACCACACGCCCATGGTCACATGTGAATAACGGTGCTCTCGTGTCCGACTGCAGTCATGCAGCGGTAGGTTGATTGATCAGGACTGCAGCCTGCCACACACCAATCCACAGCCATCCAATCCCTCTCTCCTCCACCACCTCTCCGCCTCTCCCCTCTCCTTCCTCTCCCTTTCTCCCCATCTCCCCCACACCTCCCTCAGGGCCAGTGGCTGGAGTTGCTGGGGTGGGGGTGATGGATCAGCAGATCATTCAAAGTTTCAACCTGGCACACAACGAACTACAGCCATCCAATTTCCTGCCTGACCTCCCTTCCTCAATCAACGCCTTCCCTTCTCTCTCCCCCCAACAGGGCCAGTGGTTGGAGGTGCTGGGGTGCGGGGTGACGGAGCAGCAGATTCTGGACAACTGCGGGCTGGCAGGCAGCAAGGCGTGGGCGTTCGGGCTGGGGCTGGAGCGTCTCGCCATGGTGCTCTTTGACATCCCGGACATCCGCCTCTTCTGGTCCAACGACGACCGCTTCCTCACTCAGGTCGGGGAAGGGGGAAAAGCGGGGGGCAGGTTGGAAAGGGGGGGTTTGTAGCCGCCTCAGAGGACGGGCTGGGGCTGGATCCTGGAGCGGCTGGCCACGGTGCTCTTTGATATTCCTGACATCTGGCATCCGCCTCTTCTGGTCCAACGACAAACGCTTCCTCACTCAGGTGAGAGGTGAGAGGAGGTTGGAAAAGGGAGAGAAACGGTTGTTCTTTTTTTCTCACACACTGGTCAGTTCACACACAGTTGCCCACACTTGCTCTCGTCCTCCCTCCTCCCTCCCTCCCTCGCTCGCTCACTCGCTCACTCGCCCGCCACTTCTTTGTCTTTCCTCTTTATATGTCTATATCTCTCCAGACTACTTTTTCCCCACCCTCCTGCTTCCCCCCTCTCTCCCCCTCGCGTCCTCCTCCCCTTGTGTGCACCCCCTGCAGTTCAAGGACGGAAAGCTGGGCATCAAGTTCAAGCCATTCTCCAAGGTACACTTGCTGCCCTTGTATGCTCATTCCAGGCCATTCCAGGCCATTCCAGGCCATTTCATGTCTGCTGCATCCATGCACTCTCACCGTCACTTCTGTCCACTCCCCCCTTCCCCCATCCCCCATCAACGTGCCCCACTCACTCACCCCTCCCCATCCCCAAATTCCCGCCACTTTGCCCGTTGGCTCCTTGCAACGCGTGCCCCCTCTGCTCCTTCCCACTTACTCCAGAATTCAAAGTCGTGCCAAGGTCTCAGAAGCGTGCTCCCTCACCTTCTCCCCATTCCCCTCCCCCCTCAACTACCCCACCCGCACCCCTCGTATTGCCCCCCCAGTACCCGCCCTGCTACAAGGACATGAGCTTCTGGCTGAGCGACTCGTTCACAGAGAACAACCTGTGCGAGGTCGTCAGAGGGCTGGCAGGGGACCTGGCGGAGGAGGTGCGTGCAGGGGGAGAAGGGGGATAGAGGAAGGCAAGTCGGAGGAGGGTGGGGGTGGGGTGGGGAGATGGAGGGTTGGGTGGGAGGCAAGGGAGTGGGAAATGTGTGGTTTGTCTAGGGCCGTGCAGATGGGCAGCCTCACACACACACACACACACACACACACACACACACACACACACACACACACACACACACACACACACACATACCTGACTTGTTTGATTCACCGCTTTCTGAATCCGTTGTGCCACGCACTCGATGTTCATCCCCTCCGTTCCTTTGTGCAGGCTTGCTCTCTTTTCTTCTGTTTTTCCGCCCTCTGTGCCTCCTGCTCTGCGCATGTTCCATCTCATGGGGTTCTCATCAGCATCCGCAATGAAGGGTTGCCTTGCCATGGCATCCATTCTCACTCATCTTTACACTTCCCCCTTTTCTTTTCCTCTCCCTCTGGTCCCTATTCCCGCTCTTCCTGTGGCTACCCTACTCCTCCTCCCCCCCTTCCCCCCCTCACCCCCCCCCTCGCCCCACAGGTGCGTCTGATAGACAACTTCACGAACAAGAAGGGCATGACGAGCCACTGCTACCGCATCACGTACCGCTCCATGGAGCGCTCGCTGACCGACGAGGAGATCAACGAGATCCAGGTCAGTCAGGGGTGCACAGCCGTGGACTCCGGGTGTGCGGGTGGGGTGGGTGAGTGGGTGGGTAAGTGGGTGGTCGTTTGAGTCGGTTCAAGCCGCGCATGACCGTGCTGTGTCGCTACATGCATGCATCATGTACCGCTCCATGGAGCGCTCGCTCGCGGACGAGGAGATCAACGAGATCCAGGTCAGGCATGCAAAAGAGGTTGGGGAGGGTGTGGGGGTGGGGGTGGGGGGAGATGTCTGGGTGTTTGGTCGCAGAGGAGGGAGGGGGCTGGGGAAGGGGGGGGGGGGGGGGGGGGTGTTGCAAGCCTGCTCAGTGGGCGTGAAGTGTCGCTAATTATTTCCCACTGTTCTCTCACTCTTCCCTACCACTCCCTGTGATGCTGCTCTATTCCCCTCCGCTCCCCTCCACTACTCTCCACTCCCTTCCACTCCTTTCTACTCCTCTCCACTCCCGTTCAGGCCAAGGTACGAGAGGCGGCAGCGGAGAAGCTCAAGGTCACTCTCCGCTAAGCACTTGAGCAGCATGCAGCAGCGTGCATATGGGCCTTGCATTGAGCAACAGGGGTTTTATTACAAGGGGTACTACTGTGTCTGGGTAACAGCAGGGGTTTCATACGTAAGCCCTCAGTCAATGCGATTGCCACTGAGTTCCACCACAGCTTCCCTGCGGTGCTAGAGGGTTGCTAGTAGACCTAAGACCAGGCCAATATGTGCTCTGCAGGAGGTTTTGTGTCACGCCCTGTATTCACTCTATGCTTGTACTGTAGCCTGTAGTTGACCTGCTTAGAGAATCAAAACCACTGATACAATAATGTGGGTGTTCTGCCAAAAGCTTGAGATGAGAGGCAGTTTCCATACACCTTCAGTACGCTTGCTTCTCCTGTGCCATTCGAAAGGGTACTGGGGTGTAATTTTCTGCTCCTGTCCAGTGCATGGATGCCCATAATGCACTCCCCTCAAGAACGCACACCACCACACCCAACCACAAGGGCACAAGAAGTAAGATTTTTGTTTATGCGTACTCATACCGGTAACAACTGTCAAAGTGAGAACGAATAATGACTAGAGGTGGAAACCTAGAACAAATACTAGTTGGTTGTACTCACTAGAAGCATACCTCAGTCTAGCCTATAACTTCTACATAGATAATATGTATAAGTTGACACACCCCCTAGGCTAGACAAGGGGTGAAACTAAACAAGAAACAAACAGCTCAGGGCGGCACTACTAGTCCAACCACTGAGGCAGGGGTCTAGAGACCAGTCAGCAAGAATACAACCAAAACTGAAGCAAGCCAGGGTGGCACTACTAGTCCAGCCACTGGAGGAAAGGCCACAAGGCCAGTCTGACAAGCATATATAATAGAGAGTACACAATCAGGATCCTAACAGGGGAGCAGCTACAGGAACAAGACCAAGCTGTACACAGTGCCGCTGATGATCTTTAGGCGCAAGCGCCTTCGTAAAGATATCAGCTGTGTTGGCACCTGAGGCCAAGTGAACTACGCGGGCCTGGCGGCGCTGCTGTAGCTCACGCAGGAGAAAGTACCGCAGCTGGATATGCTTCGCTCTGCCCTCAAGCCGAGGCTCCTGACACAGGAGTATCATGGCCCTGTTGTCAGCGTACAGAACCGGGGCAGAGCTAGGCCGCTCACCTAAGTCTGTGAGCAAGAAGGTCAGCCAGCGGAGCTCCTGTGCCGCCATAGCACCAGCGTAGATCTCAGCCTCACAGCTAGACTGAGCCACAGACGACGAGCGAGTGGATCTCCAAGAGATAGCACCCGAACCAAGGCTGAAACAGTAGCCCTGTGACGACCTGAGGGTCTCAGCGTCGTTTGCCCAAGAAGCGTCTGTGTGCCCAGTAAGGACCACTGGCCTGCGTCCTCCTAGCACTAACCCCATGCCTGATGTACTAGCAAGATAACGCAAAACCCTCTTAGCGGCAGACCAGTGCTGAGGTCGGTGTCTGCCTGTAGCCACAAAGCGAGCCAGGATGCTGAGAGGGTATGCGAGATCTGGGCGCGTGCAAGTCATCAGGTACATGAGGCAACCCACCAGCTCTGCGTAGGGGCCACTGGGCTCTACTGGCTCCTCAGGAACGGGAGCAGAGAGCCCATGGTCTACGGGTAGAGGTGTGGGCTGTGCGGAGGAGAACTGAAGACCGAACCTCTGAAGGACCTGACGCACCAAGTGTGACTGGGTCAGAGTGATGGTGCGTGTTGCTCTGTCCCTGGAGATCTGCAGGCCAAGATAGCGACGCAGCTCTCCAAGGTCAGTGCAGGTGTGTCTCTTCAGCAGCTCAGCCTTCACAGAGGCCAGTGCGTCCCTGTCAGGGGTAGCGAAGACCAGGTCGTCTACGTAGACAAGGATGTAGAACGGAGTCTGGCCGGAACGCACAAACAGTGAAGGGTCAGCAGAGGACGGAAAGAACTGCAGGTCTGCTAACGTGGCACGTAGCGTGTCGTGCCACTCGCGGGGAGCCTGACGCAGGCCGTAGACCGGGCGCCTGAGAAGCCACTGGGTCCCAGGAGGGAAGGTACCAGTGAAGCCCTGTGGTCGGCGCAGGTAGACCTGCTCGTGTAGGCTGCCCTGAAGAAAGGCAGTAGAGAAGTCGAGGGAGTGAAGCTCGTAGTCACGCTGTGCTGCTACGTGTAGCAGCGCCCGAAGAGTGGTCATCTTCGGGGTCGGGGCGAAGGTCTGGAAGAAGTCAACCCCCTCGCGCTGACTGAAACCTCTGGCCACGTAGCGCGCCTTGAAGACAGGCGGCTCTCCAGGGGGGCGCTTCACCTTGAAGAGCCACCGACCATCGACTACGTTCACCCCAGGCGGGGGAACTGCGTCGACGTAAGTGCCGGTGGACCTCCAAGATGCCATCTCCTGCTCCATGGCAGCTATCCACTGAGAGGCCCAAGGTCCCGAGGTGGCCTCAGCGTAGGTGCGAGGGGTCGGGATGTCGAAGGCGTCTGGGTCACCCTCAGGGACTAGGAGCATGGAGCAGAGATGGGGAGCAGCCTCGGAAAGGAAAGCCAGCTCGTACTGCCTGTCCTCTAGGACGTCACTGCCAAGGGCAGGAGCACCCCCGACGGACAGAGGACGGGCAGGGTCAGAGACCAGAGCGGTAGCGTAGTTAAGGCGGCGGGTAGAAGCGAAGTCAGCGACAGCGGCGACAAGCGCGTCAAGGCGCGAGACAGGAACAGCAAGGTCGGTAACAAGAGAGGCAAGGACCCGAGGGACAAGGGGACGAGAAGCACGGAGGTAGTCAGAGAACGGAGGAGGTGCAACAACAAGGGACGAGGGAGGAGGGGACGGGAGGAGGGGAGGACGAGACGAGCGGGAACGGAGCAACATAGGGTGGGTGGGCAGGACAGGAGAGACGGGACGAGCACGGGGGGGACGGCGAGCCCAAACGTGAGACGGAGGGGTAGGGTCAGGGGACAGCGGAGGAGACACAGTAGGGGAACGAGGAGGAAGACGGGCCGGAGACGAGTCTGGCGGCGGGAACACAGGACCGTAGACAGGGAGGTCAGCAGGCGGTGGGGGAGACACCAACGCGCGGTCCGGTGAGGGAAGGCCGAGCAGGCGGAGAGCAGAAACCGGCGGCGACGGCTGCTGCGGCGGCGACGACGGCTGGGCCGGAACTCTCGGACCAGCAGAGGCAGAACGACCGTCGGCAGAACACTCAACAGCAGCACCCCCAGAACCAACACCCCCAGAGCGAGAACCCCCTCCAACACCAGCGGCACCCCCAGAAGCCGCAGGACGAACACCCTCCTCCACACCAGCACCCCCAGGGGCCAAGAGCGGCGGCGGCAGTGGCGGCAACGGCTGCGGCGGCGGCGACAGCGGCGACGACTGCGGCAGCGACAGCGGCGGCGGCGGCGACGGCTGCGGCGGTGACGACAGCGGCGACGGCTGCGGCAGCGACGGCGACGGTGGCGGCAGCGGGGTCGGCGACTGCGACAGTGGGGGCGGAGGCACCGGGGAAGGGGGACGCGGCAAGGACGGACCGGGGGTACCACCAGAGTCAGCAGACTCCTCAACGGGGACAACCGACGGGAGGGGAGTGACGTGGGAGACACCAGACGGGGCAGGACGAGGCGGGAGAGGGGCAGGGGCTACCGGGGGAGAGGGAGCAAAGAACAGGGGGGGGGCAACTGGGAGACCTCGGTGAGGGAAGCGGCGGTAGAAGGAGACGGACTCGTCAAAGGTGACGTCACGAGAGTGGAGGAAGCGGTGAGACGGCGGGTGGTAGAAAAGCCAGTCAGACGAGTCCAGGGGGAAACCGAGGAAGACACAGGGGACAGTGCGGGCAGTGAGCTTGTCCGTGCCAGAGGCACGAACGTGAGCAAGGCAGCCCCAGACGTGGAACGCAGACGCGTCACCGGGGGACCCGGTCCAAAGGAGGGTCGGCGAAACCTGCGGCCGCTGGGAGCGTGGCCACAGGTTAAGCTGGTGAGCAGCGTAGCGAACAGCGAACGGCCACAAAAAATGGGGGGCATCGGCATGGATCATGGAGGTACGGGCGACCTCCATGACCAAGCCGATGCGGCGCTCAGCAACCCCATTCTGCTGTGGCGAGTCCGACAAGGTGTACGACTGGGTGATGCCCTCCGCACGACAGAACTGTCCAAGCCGACCAGAGGCGAACTCGCCGCCACGGTCGGAGTGGAGACACAACACGGGGAGACCGCGGTGGAGACGCGCAGCCACAACCCACGGGAGGAGAACGTCGGGCACGTCGGCCTTCCGCTCCAGGGGAAACACCGTGGTGTAGCGCGTGTAGTCGTCGACGAGCACAAGGAAGTAGCGCTCACCGCGCGGTCCGGGGACGGGGGCAGGGCCCCAAACGTCCAAGTGCAGGGTCTGAAGGGGGGCAGTAGCAGGACGCAGCGAGGAGGAGTGAGGAGCACGGCGAAGCCGACCCTCGACGCAAGGCGTGCACGGTGGCGCAGTCGAGGGAGGAAGGGCAGGGAGCGACGCAGGGAGACCTAAGACAAGACCGTGCTGGGACATGTGACGCAGACGCGGGAGAGCAGGGTGACCTAAGCGGTGGTGCCAGAGAAGGGAGGGGTGAGCGAGGGACCGACACGAGCAAGCTGCAGCGACCTGGGAGGACGCACCAACCGGGGGGGAAGCGGTGTCTAGGGTAAACAGACCGGACACCGGGTCCCGGGGGAACGTCGCAAGGGGGGAACCTGAGACAGCCTCAGAACAGACAGCGAACCGCTCGTGCCCAGGGAACGTGGTGGTGACGCCGAGGTCCTGGAGACAGCCGACACCAACCAGGTTCCTAGAGAACGAGGGAACGTGGCGGCCAGTAAGGGAGCCTGAGGGAACTGCCGGACAGGGAAGGGACGTAGAACTGCGCGCGACGACCGGACCCGCAGAGGGGTCAGCGAGAGAGACAACAACAGGTGCAGCAAGCGGCGTGAGCGTGGAACGGTCGCGGAAGAAGCAGGCAGAAGCACCGGAGTCGAGAGTGAAGGACAGCGACGCAGTGGCGGAGGCCGGGGACGGAGCCGGTGCAGCGACTAGACTAGGCAACCTAGGCAGTCCTACGCCTGACGCAGCAGGGGAGGCTAAGCTACACAGTGGTGCAACACCTAAACTAGAGTACACAGGGTAATAAGATCCAGCAAAACTAGAAGTGTCAGAATACAAAGCATGCAAAGCAGCACCTAGCTGATCCATGTCTAACTCAAAGATCGGCACGCCCTGGCGGAGCAGGCTGTGCCAGTCGGGGAGGTCCGGGGCCGGGCCAAAGCGACGACGAAAGAGATCGTCGAGGCGGCGGAAACAGCGGGCGGTCGGGTGCGGGCGGCGGCACAGAGTGCCGCGAAGAGGCCCGGTCTGAAGCTGGTACTGGCAGGTGACAGCACCGGAGCCGCCGGTAGACGCCAAGCTGCGCGGACCGCCACCACGGCCACTACCTCCAGAGGTGCCGGGCCAACCAGGCGGGAGACGGGCCCACTGCTGCGGCGACTGCTGCTGGGACGGTAAATGCTGCTGGGGCGGCGGCTGCGGCTGGGGCTGCTGCTCCTGCCCACCAGTGGTAGTCCCCGCAGGCGGATTACCGTCACCACCACTACTGCAACCACCACCCCTACCCCCCTGGCGACCACGGCCACCGCGGCGCGAGCGCTGCTGCGGGTGGACCGCACCAGCCGACTCGGTGAGAGGGGCCGCCGAGGCGACCGCAGCCGAAACGTCAGTGAACGCACACTGGGAGGGGGCACAACCGTGAAAGATAGAAACTGCCGGCGCACCGCTCGACTGAGCGATAGTGCGCTGGCGAGTCTCGATCTCGGTGAGGGTGTCGACAAAGGCAGTGAGAGTGAGGTCACCCGGGTGCTGGCTAAGAAAGTGATCGCGAGCACTAGCGAGGCGGTCTGGCAGGCGCATGGCGATAAAATAGAGCGTCATGCAGAAAGGGAGGGGGAGCGCAGTGAGCTGGGCAGCAGTGCTGGCAGTGCGATAGCGGGTCTCTAGGGCACGCAGGTGAGTGGCAAAGTCTGCGACGGTAGGGAAAGCTGCAAGGTCTGGGAAAAGCATAGGGAAGAGCAGGCGACCAGCTGAAGCAGACGCGGGTGTGGAATAGCGGGCAATAACAGCGTCTAAGTAAGCTTTGGCCGTCTCAATAGTAGCAAAACGCGAGCGCTCAGAGACAGGGAGGGCGTGGCTAATGGCAACCTGAGCGACTGCATCGCGGGAGTCCCAGACCGCACGGGCAAGCGCAGCAGTAGAGAAGGTCTCACGGTCATCAGAGGAGGGATCAGCAGGGAGGGGAGCAGGTGCGGGGGGACGGGGGAGCAAGCCGTCGACATGGACAACCAAAGAGTGGCCATCCTGGCGCTGACCTGTAAGGTGGCGGCGGAGATCGGAGAGCCAGGCGGCGAAGTCAACCGCATGGCCCTCGGCGTCCAGTCGGAGCACGAAGTCCGCCATCGTGCAGGGTCAGCGGCACAGCGACAGCCCCCTCCAGAACGGCGGCCGCGAAGCGCCTCAGCACGGGCGAGCAGAGGAGACGGAGCCCGAGGCGGCACGGCAGGACGAGCCGGGGCGAAGGGGTCAGGCAGGTGCGGTGGGGCCAGGCAGGTGCTGGCGAGGCCAGGAAGGCACGGCGGGGCCAGGCAGGCGCGGCGGGGCCAGGCAGGCGCGGCGGGGCCAGGGAGGCGCGGCGGGGCCAGGCAGGCGCGGCGGGGCCAGGGAGGCGCGGCGGGGGCCAGGAAGGCGCGGCAGGGCCAGGCAGGTGCGGCGGGGCCAGGCAGGCGCGACGGGGCCAGGCAGGCGCGACGGGGCCAGGCAGGCGCGGCGGGGCCAGGCAGGCGCGGCAGGGCCAGGGAGGCGCGGCGGGGCCAGGCAGGTGTGACGGGGCCAGGCAGGGCGCGACGGGGCTAGGCAGGGCGCGACGGGGCCAGGCGGGCGCGACGGAGCCAGGCAGGGCGCGACGGGGCCAAGCGGCGGGGCCAGGCAGGTGCGGCGGGGCCAGGCAGGCGCGACGGGGCCAGGCAGGCACGACGGGGCCAGGCAGGGCGCGACGGGGCCAGGCAGGCGCGGCGGGGCCAGGCAGGCGCGGCAGGGCCAGGGAGGCGCGGCGGGGCCAGGCAGGCGTGACGGGGCCAGGCAGGGCACGACGTGGCTAGGCAGGGCGCGACGGGGCCAGGCGGGCGCGACGGAGCCAGGCAGGGCGCGACGGGGCCAAGCGGGCGCGACGGGGCCAGGCAGGGCGCGACTGGGCTAGGCAGGGCGCGACGGGGCCAGGCGGGCGCGACGGGGCCAGGCGGGGCACGACGGGGCCGAGCGGGCGCGACGGGGCCAGGCAGGGCGCGACGGGGCTAGGCAGGGCGCGACGGGGCCAGGCGGGCGCGACGGAGCCAGGCAGGGCGCGACGGGGCCGAGCGGGCGCGACGGGGTCAGGCAGGGCGCGACGGGGCCAGGCGGGCGCGACGGAGCCAGGCAGGGCGCGACGGGGCCGAGCGGGCGCGACGGTGTCAGGCAGGGCGCGACGGGGCCAGGCAGGGCGCGACGGGGCTAGGGTGGCGCGACGGGGCTAGGGTGGCGCGACGGGGCCCAGGAGGGGCGCGACGGGGCTAGGAGGCGCGACGGGGCCCAGGAGGGGCGCGACGGGGCTAGGGTGGCGCGACGTGGCCCAGGAGGGGGGGGGGGGGGCGACGTGGCTAGGAGGCGCGACGTGGCCTAGCTAGGGTATGGGCGGAAGCGGTAGGTGGGGGATGCTAACCTACGCGTGATACCATGTCAAAGTGAGAACGAATAATGACTAGAGGTGGAAACCTATAACAAATACTAGTTGGTTGTACTCACTAGAAGCATACCTCAGTCTAGCCTATAACTTCTACATAGATAATATGTATAAGTTGACAACAACATCTAAAATGAAATGCGGATGCCGTTTGGTTTCCACCCTTGCCTTCATTTCGGAACTTGAAACATTCAACTTCCCACCCACCTTCCCTTAGCCAGTATCATTGGTGTACCCTTCCAGAGCAAGTTTAGGTCGACTTCAGAGGGTACTAGACTAGTCACCGTATTTGGATGAGAATGCTGTAATCGCCCAAATGAAATGAAGCATGTTGCCATGAAATGAAGCATGTTGCCATTGCAAACAGGAAAGCAAACTTTCTCAATATGGTACCGTAGTATATTTCAGTAATGGCAGATCACATCCACACTTCTGTACTTCCCCTGAAACAGGAGAAACACATGTCTATTATCCACCCAAATACCCTGTCTCGAGGTACGCTATAAGCGGAACATGCACGTCCTGCACTGCAGTTTCGCTCAGGAGCAAGTCGAGGTGAGAGTAGCGGGGCAGCTCCAAGTGAGTCACAGCAGGACCAGAGGCACCAGCAGCAGAACCCCCAGTGCTGCTGCTAGTGCTTGCAGGGTTGAGCTGCGATAAGAGCTTCCGAATGTTGGGCGGGTCGGCAAACCAGTCGTTGCCACCGCTCATAACGAGAATAGGCACCTCCGCAGGCATGTTCGACAGGTAGTACTGATGAGTGCAAGTGGGGAGAAGAGGTGGGGGGGAAGGAGGGGAGAGAAATGATCCGGGGTTTCGAGAGTTGGGAAGGAGCGGAAACCGTGACTGAAGAAAGGGCAGAAAGGACAGCGTGGGGCGGGGGGAGATGCGTGGAGAGAACAGAGCTGGGGCAGTGGAAGTGGGTGGTCGGGTGGGTGATCAGTGAGAGTAAGGCACAGCGAGTCAAACCATGGGGGGGGAGACAGCGCCGTAGCGATCCATGTTGGCTTGCGCACTGAGCGCATCCCACTGCTGGAAAAGACCGTTGCGGATCACTGCACATGCACACATGTGCATTCAAACACACACGAAACACAAACATACACATGCACACAAACACACACGTGCACACAAACACAGAGAGAGGTAGGCAAGCAGGCAATGCATCACGGCATGCAAACTTTTGGACATGCAACCAGGCAGGCCCTTAGGCACGCAGGTACAGGGGGGTGAGAGGAACTATGAAGCGCCAGCAGCAAGAGTATGCAGCAACAGGCTTCATCCCCCTGTCCACGGCGTTCTTTTCATTCACAGCGCCCACTCACGTTGCTGGTAGTGGATGAGGTTGCGGTACGACGTGGCAATCCACCCCGCTGTTGGGGCTGCAGGGGGCTCCAGGGGGTCCGTGCAGCACGGGGTGCCTGGTGGGTGCAATTAGGGGAGGGAGCAGAGGGAGGGGTGTGAGGGGAGGGTCAATGGCATGGCACAGTATGGATGGAGCAAGGGGGAAAAGGGAGGGAAACAAGGAGAAAGTGTGTGTTGGGGGAAGGCTGCTGTGGGAGTTCTAACAGAGAGCTTGGGAGGAGAGAGCACGGTGCGGCATGGTACAGCATGGTACGGCATGGCGTGTATGGGAGCATGTGTGCATGGCGTGGCATGGCAGGGCGGGGCGACCTGTGATGTTGGTGAGGAGGTCCTGGGGGTCGCCCGTGGAGACGAAGTAGGTGAGCATGTTGTACCCCACCGCCTCCAGAACGCCAGATAGGATCTCCGTGCTGGGGTGGAGTGGAGGGGTGCACACATGAGGACAGGCACACATGCATACAGGCACACAATGGAAGAGCCGCTACAGGAACAAGGGCAACTCATAGCAGGATGTGACAAGTGTGTGTGGCAGGCAGGGGATGAGAATGAACGCGCAGCTGCAGCAGCAGCAGCAGCAGCAGCAGCAGCAGCAGCAGCAGCAGCAGCACAGTAGCAGCAGTACGTACGCTGAGACGTTGTAGGCGCCGTACAGGAGATGCGCTTGGTAGACAGCCTGGGGATCAGGGGGCGGGGCAGGGCACGAGGCACAGAATCACAGATGAGACAAGGGCAAGGGTGTCAATAGCGACACACGTCCATCCACGAACAAGTTTCACTGCTGCCTCTCGTGCCCCTCGAATAAACGCAAAACTCCAAGGCATGGGTAGTACCACCGCATGAGGCAGGACTCACCGCATCGGGCGACGGACCCAGTGCGCCGGGCGACTTGAGTTCTGGAAGAACACCGTAGGCGTGACGGACGCCACGGATGCCACAGAAGCAGCAATACTGGAGGCTTCTGATGGAGAAGCAGGCACAGGATTTCACTCACCGCATCGGGGGACGGACCCAGCGCCCACTGGCGAAGCACGGGCGACTTGACGTTCTGGAAGAACACCGTAGGCGCGACGGACGCCACGGACGCAGCGATGCGTGCGAGGTAGCGTGGGGACGTGCTGCCCAGGGCGAAGGGCAGCATGCCGCCCTCGTTGAAGCCCAGCAGGTGCAGCTTGGGCGCGCCTGTCACCCCCAGGACGAGCTGTATGGCGGACGGCAGGTCTATGGTGGCCAACTGGTCAAAGTCCCAGTCCCAGTATTGCTGCAGGGGGGTGGGGGAGGAGAGGGGGGAATTTTGAGTCGACTCAAAAACCAGCTGGTCAAAGTCCCAGTCCCAGTATTGCTGGTGGGGAGATGGGGGAGGAGAGGGGGGAATTTTGAGTCGACTGAAAAACAAGCCAAAGTCCCAGTCCCAGTATTGCTGGTGGGGCGATGGGGGAGGAGAGGGGGGAATTTTGAGTCGACTAAAAAACAAGCTGGTCAAAGTCCCAGTCCCAGTATTGCTGCGGGGGAGATGGGGGAGGAGAGGGGGTAAGTGGGGTGGTGATAAGGAAGAGACTAGAGAAAGAGGTTGGGGGGTGCAGAAGATGAAGCCAACTACAAACTGAGAGTCCAATCTCGATCTCTTTCTCAATCTCTATCTCATCCCTTCACAAGGCGAACGAGCCGCCCGCACTCACCCACTGGCGGGTGTTGTACGCCACATGCCCCGGGGAGAACTCAGTGGAGCGGTGGTTGAGCAGGAAAACGTCGAAGCCCCGGTTGGCCAGCCCCACGGGCACGCGCTTGCGGATGAGCGGGTCGGCGCCGGTTTGGTTGGAGAAGGCGAACCACAGGTCGCTCGCCAGGAACATGGCGTGGGAGAGCAGCACGGGGTAGCGCGGCAGCACACGGCTCTGCGCCTGCGACTGCGGCTGTGGCTGGGAGGAGGAGCGAGCCTGGGCGAGCGGCTGGGCGAGCGGCTGGGTGAGGGGCTGGGCGAGCGGCTGGGAAAGAGGCTGCACAAGGGGCTGGGAGAGGGGCTGGGAGGTGGGGAGAGTGGTGGGTGCCACCTCCTGGCGTTGGAGTTGCTGCTGCTGCTGCTGGGAGCGGAGCATTGGGCGGCCAGACGGGAGGGACGGGAGGGACGGCAGCTCAGGCACTGCAGTGTCTGCTGCTGGTGCTGGGCGTGCAGCCAGTGTGGCTGTCGCAGCAGGAGTGGTGGTGGTGGTGGTGGCGGTCGTTGTGGCGGGGGAGGATGAACCGAATAAGCCTGCAGTAGCAGCACTCACTGTTCGTGCTGCTGCTTCGGCTGCCGCAGTAGCAGCAGCACCAGCCGCACCAGCCATAGCAGCAGCAGCGCCCGAGGGTGTGGTGAGAGGTGCAGCAGGCGTGGGTGTGGAGGTGGTGAGAGGTGCCGTGGCAGATGCAGCAGCACCCACTGGCAGTAAGATGGGAGGTGGAGTCACCGAGGTGTTGGTAATGCGCTGAATGCTCAGTATGTATCCGTCGCTCGTGGTGATCTGATAGGCGGGGGGGGGGGGAGAGAAAGGGGGAGCAAGATGGGGAAGGAAAAAGGGGGGAATAAGGGGTAAGGGGAGGGGCAAGGGTAGGGTAGAGGAGGGAAGTGTATGGCTGGCAGGGAACAAGATGGGTCATGCTAAGAAACGCACGTGGTATCTCAAACGCACGTGGTATCTCAAACGCACGTGGTAGTGTGGGATCGTTCCTTTGCTGATTCTCCCAAATTCTCTGTCTGGCGCCTTCACATCCACTTCAAGCTCGCCTGATGCTCACCTGATGCTCACCTGATGCTCACCTGATGCTCACCTGATACTCACCTGATACTCAACCTGAAGCCCTCCTGCCGCAACTCTCCCCCACCCCCTCTCACCTGGTACTCGCGGCACTGCAGCCCATACGGGCGCACGTATCGCTCGCAGAACACCGACTCCTGCTCTCGCCCCACCTCCCGACCCGTCGCCGACGCCGCCAACGCTGCTGCTGCTGCGTCTGCCGGTGCCTGCGCTGACGCCAGGAGCGGCGAGTGCAGGGTCGACGGGGAGGAGTGTGGGGAGAGGAGGAGGAGCAGGAGGAGGAGGGGGCCGAGGAAAGCGGGGAGGAGGGGCAGGGCGGCGACGGGAGAGTGGAGAGGCTTCGCCATTTGAGCGCCTCTTGACAAGAACCCTAAGGAAAGAGGAGGACGGGGAGAGGAAAGAGGGAGGGTTGCTTCCTTCGCAGTTGCTTGCTTCCCAGTTTATATGTGTAGCTTTTTTCACTGCTGATACTCGGTGTAGTGTTGCTGCCCAGGCAGGCGGCAGCAGAGAATTGGAGACACAAGGAGCACCGCCTGGAGGACCACTGAGCTGAAGGAAGTCCGGAAGCAGGATTTATGAGCACATGCCGCAGCCGCGTGCCCCTCTACCTCTCTGCCCCTCTGCTCCTCTGCCTCTCTGCCGCTCTACCCCTTCCGCCTGTCTCAGGTGACCAGTGGCGTTAGAGGTGAAGACAGGGGCAGCAGCCGCTGAGAGGTGACGTGCTGTCTTGAAGTCGTCAGGACGGGACGGGGCGGGACAGGACGTCCCCCTCAGCTTGTCCTTCTCGTTCCGGCGCTCTTGATTGGCTCCCGCGTCGCGAGTCCAATCAGGAGGGAGAGAAACGAGCGAGGCTCTACCACCGTTGTTGGCTGTCACGGTCGCTGTCACCGTTACTGTTGCTGTTGCTGATCGACCGGCCGAACGCTCTGTGCTCGCTGTGCGGGGCCGCTTGCTGACCTCCGAGTTTTCACGTACAAGTGTTACGGGCAATAACGGTATAGCTCGCTGGTCTGCAAACACCACAGGCACTGCCGACCGATCGATCCTCGCTGCTGCTGCTGCTGCTGCTGCTGCTGCTGCTGCTGCTGCTGCTGCTGCTTGTTGTAGTCGTCGCACCAGTCTCAATCGTCTCCCAACGTCTGCGGGTATTTCTAGGAATCGCTCGAGGAATCCGTAGAGGTGACTTTTGAGTCGACTCAAAAGTCACCTTGGAATCCGTAGAGGGGGCTGAGTTAGAGCGTGGAGGCCGAGGCGGCATGGCGGGGGGACGGTCGCTGTCAGCAAGATGAGCTGGTCAGTCGATGGAAGATGGGATGGTGCGATGGTGCGATGGTGCGATGGTGCGATGCTGAGATGGTGGGATCGTTGGACGGTTGGAATACTCTTATCAGCTGCATCATGCTTGAAACGGCGCTTTCAGTCGGGAACGCGGGACGGATCGAAGGAGAGCCGACTCGATCGCTGTCCTGTCACGCGCGAAACCCGGTGAGGCGGTACTGGTGGCACGCAGTGGCGCACGCAGTGACGCACGCAGTGGCGGCGCTGCGTAAGTAGTGAGTGAGTCAACCGCCACCGACATCGCCGTCGCACGGTCGCTGTGCTGTGCGCACGCGATGATTGAGCGACGCGTCGCAGTGACGGGAATCGTTGGGCGACCCCGTCGGGCCTTGGGATCTCCGTTCAGAGAGAGGGCGGATTTTCTCGAGTCTCGAGCATCGCGGAGCCTTACGGGGAAATCGAGAAAACGACATGTGTGAGACGGGGACTGTTTTGATCTGGGAGGTCACGTCAAAAGCACGCTGAGCCATGTCGACGCTGCCAAGTCATGCCTTAGTACACTGAGGGACTCGAGAAGAAACATGGAGTCTAGAGAAAGACATGGATTCCTTGTAATGGTTTTTACGAATGGGAGTGTTTGTTTTGGCTGTTAACGTTATCGTCAGCAGAGCGGTGTGTATCGAGTGCTAGTCAGCTAGCACTCCGCCCCACAGGTGTACAGCACCTTTGGTCAGGTGGGCTGGAGGAATCAGAGAGATTCAGAAGCTGAAACCCATGTTTTGCTCATCTATCTGGTGCCGAAAATCGACCTGCCTGTTCGCCTACTTCCGCCCAAATCGCAGGGGATTGCGGGGGGACCATTCGGGATTCAGAAGCGACACACGAGACGGTGACGCGTGCACTGTGAGCTGCAACAGTGGCCTGCGTCTTTGTCGATTTCCGCGGTAGACTCTGTCGTTTCTCACCGACCCTAGGGGTTTTGACGTGTAGCTGCTGGGCCCCAACGTGGAGACGTCACGAGTTGCTTCGGTTAAAAAGCTCCTTGCTAAGTGCTCAAAGCAAAGACCCTGTTTGTGAAAACATGTGAGAACCTTATGAGCCATTGTAGCTTCTACAATGTAACGCAACTAATTTTAGGACACAAGGGCCACTTCATAGCCATGCTACATGGCTCAAACTGCTTTGAACTATTTCATAGCCATACGTTGTGTTGTCTCAATTCACCCTCAATGTCTAAACATCGTAAAGTCGTTGAGGGCGGAAGTTTGGTCCACGCTGGACTCGTTCGTGCGCGCATGTTGAATGCTTGGCTGGGACAGTTGGCAACGAGTGCACGAAATCTATTAAGTGTTAAATTATATATGTTAGTATATAATTGTCGGCTTGGTAGACGTTACTGAACATTACTGTAGAGGGTACAAGACCCCTCCTTGTATCCCTCTCTCGTCTTGTCTAGTTCTCTTTTCTCTCGTCAAACTTCCCCCCCAAGCTCTCGATCTCCTAAAACCCCCTCGCCATTTCATGGCGTCTTAGTTCCTAGCTTGCCATGGTATCAGAGCAGGACGCCCTTCCCGGGCCTGCTCTCCACGCTTCCGCTGCGTACCCGTCCTTACTTGGCCGCCGTCGTGGCCCTCTGTTTGCCTGCCGCCGTGGCACATTTTTCGAGATGACGCGGCGGCCTCGGTGTGCTCTCGTCTCAGCGTCGACGAGCAGCCGCGGCTCCAACGCCACGCTGTGGTAGTATCGTAGTGGTACCGTGGCGGTGTCGTCGGCCTGTTGCCGTCGCGCACCACCTGCGTCGCTGCTGGACTTGCAGCCCGCCCGCACGCCAGTAAGCGTCGCGCCAGCAATGGCGCCGCGCTGAAGACCCGAAGCCCCACCCCTTCGCCCTTCCCTCTGTCTCCTCCTCTTCGCCACAACCGCCGCCTGACTCTTGCCGGTCGTCCCCCTGTCGCGGAGTCTGGACATGCCGCCGAAAGGGCGGGGGCCGCTGCCGTTACCGCGGCCGTAAGCCGAAGCCGTCGCCGTCGCCGCTGTCGTCGCCGCAGGCCTGTTGCCGCCGCACGCCGCCGCCGTCGCCGTCGCTGTCGCCGTTGCCGGGACTGCCGCCGTCGCCATCTCCAGGGCCTTGGGGTTGGACCTGCTAGAGTAGTCGTGGCTGCTGGGAATGGGGGTGCCAGGTTAGGAAGTGTGGGGGTGTATGGGTCCTTGTGCTACCAAGCCTAGGGGGTATGTTAAATTATATAAGTTAGTATATAATTGTAGGCTTGGTAGACATTACTGAACATTACTGTAGAGGGTACAACACCCCTCCTTGTATCCCTCTCTCATCTTGTCTAGTTCTCTTTTCGCTCGTCAAACTTCCCCTCCTAGCTCTCGATCTCCTTAAACCCCCTCGCCATTTCATGGCGTCTTATTTCCTAGCTTGACAATAAGGTACCACACAATTAAGGTTAAACTCTTCCTAGCCATAGTCAATGCTCTAGCTAGGCTTTTGGTCAATATGTTGACAACACTGTAATAGTACAAGGCAATCATGAGCACAAAACTCCATTCCCGGGAAGATTGGGCGGTATCCCTAGTAGTTGAAGTTTGACTAGAACCATGTTTAGGGCTACGAGTATAGCCAGACTTCATCCACACCAAGTGTACATGAGTGAGCAACCACACAGGACAAGAACCATCACGACTATCGATACCCACCAAAATATCTTTTACGTCATGGTGGTAATGTATACAGTTTGTTGGGTTTCGTCCGCAGCTTGCATGTCTCTGTTTAACTACGAGAATCAGATGAGTGCAGACATGTAAGATATAGTGTCAAACATATGTGTACATGCTATTATAGACTAGATAGGTATCAAAGTAGCGAAGTGACTAGAATGTGAGATACATTATGGTTTTGTGCTAAGCGGTTGTACTCTCTAAGAGTACGCACCTATCTAGCCTATAGTAGCATACAAATATATGTTTGACACACCCCCTAGGCTAGATAAGGGGCAGTGCCGGACAAGAGACACGAAACTTAGAGTGGCACTACTAGTCCAACCTCTGAGGAAAGGGTCCGAAGACCAGTCAGCAATAGTACAAACTAGACAAGTGCAACACAGGGCAGCACTACTAGTCCAGGCACTGGAATGAGAGCCACAAGGCCAGTCAAATTAGTATAAGGAGTAGTACATAATCAGGGTCCTAGCAGGTGAGAAGCTACAAGAACTAGACCAAACTGTACACAGTGCCGCTGATGATCCTTAGGCGCAAGCGCCTTCGTAAAGATATCTACTGTGTTGGCAGCGGAGGCCAAGTGTACTACGCGGGCCTGGCGGCATTGCTATAGCTCGCGCATGAGGAAGTACCGCAGTTGGATGTGCTTCACTCTGTCCTCCATTCGAGGCTCCTGACACAGGACGATCGTGACCCTATTATCAGCGTACAGGACCGGGGCAGAGCTAGGCCGCTCACCTAAGTCGGTGAGCAAGAAAGTCAGCCAGCGGAGCTCCTGTGCCGCCATGGCACCAGCGTAGATATCAATCTCACAACAAGACTGGGAAACAGACGAGGAAAGGGTAGAATTCCACGAGATAACGCTCGCACGAAGCAGTAGCCTTGTGAGGATCTGAGCGTTTCAGCGTCGTCTACGTACAAAATAATGTAAAAATGAGTCCGACCAGCACGAACGAAGAGTGAGGGGTCAGTAGAGGACGGGAAGAACTGAAGAGTCACGAGTGTAGTGCAAACTATGTCATGCCACTTACGGGGCGCCTGCCTCAACCCGTAGACCGGGCACCGCAGGCTTGACTCAGTCCTAGGTGGGAAGGTCCCTGTGAAGCTTGGCAGGTGCCGCAAATAGATCTGCTCGAGAAGGCTGTTGGAACTGCAAGAAGGCTGTCGAGAAGTCCAAAGAGTGGAGCTTGTAGTCACGTTGTGCGGTTGTGTGGAGGAGCACCCGAAGAATAGTCATCTTCTATGTAGGAAAGAAGGTCTGGAAGAAAGTCCAAACCGTCATGCTTGCTGAAGCCTCTTGCCACATACCGCGCCTTGAACTGCGGTGGCTCTCCAGGTGGGCGCTTCACCTTGTAGATCATGTCATCGTCTATGTTCACTCCAGGTGAAGGAATAGCTTTGATGCAAGTGCTAGTGGCTCTATTAGATGTCATTTTTGTCTTCATTGTCTGTATCCACTGGGCTACCCATCGCCCAAGACTGCCGCCTCAGTGTACGATCATGGGGTAGGAATGTTCAGGGTGTCCAGATCACCCCCATGGGACACAAGCACGGCGCAGAGATGAGTTACTACAGCTGTAAGGAAAGCCACTTGTACTGCCTATCCTCTAAAACGTCATTGCCAAGGGCAGGCGCACCCTCGATGGACGGAGGATGGGCAGGGTCGGAGACCAGAGCGGAGGCATACTCAAGGCGGTGGCTTGCAGCAAGTCGGCGACAGTAGCGACGAGAGCAGAAACACCGACAGGAGGAGCCATAGGGTCCGTAACAAAAGAGGCAAGTAAGCGGGAGACCACTAGACGAGCAGTGTGAATAGATTCCGATGGAAGAGCAGAGGACAGGGGCAGGGACGACGTAGGACGTATCGAGAGGACAGAGATTGGAGGAGCACAAGTATGAGAAGAGACAGGATGACCACCAGGGGTACGACGCACCCACGGGTGGGCAACAAGGGATGGGACAGGGGACGGAGGAGAACAAGGATTGAAACGAGCCGGAGACGAGTACGGGAAGGGAACAGCGGCCCGTAGACGGAAGCAAGTGGGAGGGGAGGTGCTATGGGAGGTACGGGTTACGATTAAAGGAAACTAGAGGAAAATCCGAGGAGACGAAGGGCAGACTACGGCTGCTGCTGCTGCTGCTAATTCCGGCCCACGCCAGAACCCCCAGCCCTACCATTACTAGTGCGAGTACTCTCGAGTCAGCACCTCTAGCACTAGCAACCCCAGGACTAGCACCTCCAGGACTAGCAGCCTTAGAATCAGCACCCCTAGAACCACCAACCCCAGGGCCCACGGTCCCTTGCCACCAGGGCTGACGTTTCAAAAAATAGCACCCTGAGTTGTCGAATGTGGAAAAAAATTTACCCTGATGGCCAAGTGTTGGAATTTTGACTTCCCTGATTTCTCAGTGTTCTGGAACCTACAACCCTGAAATCTCCAGGGTTAGCTATCAACAATCAGGGTTGCATTGCACTTGGAAAAAATCAACTAGAAATGTACAGTTACTAGTTAAGTAAAAGCACCACTACGCCACGCCAGTTTACAAGTCCTGTATCTAGTCTAGACTTCACAAGATTCCACGCCACTACCTACACTTGACTAAAATTCTGGGCCATCCATGTTCACTTCGTCTTCTGCCTCGTCATCGGACAGAAACGGGTTGTCTTCCACTTCAGGAGGAGCCTCTCCCCCCACTCCCCCCTCCCCCTCTCCCTCATCCTCTG